CTACACTCATAAAAGTCTTAAAATGGGAAAGAACACAAACTGAATCTATGTTTTGAATTTATGATTTGTTGTGTTATTTATGCACATTGACACAAGAATTTGAGACACTGTAGGAATTTATCAGTGGTTTCAAATATATTTTGAAATGTTGATGTGGCTGTGAGTTTTGGTTTTATAGGTCTCTCCTCATTCAAAGAGAGAGGAGTCTGGTCTCGTATGACTGAAAATACCTGCTCAAGTGAACAGACTTTCCTATAAGGACTTGGTTTGTGTCATTAACTCTGTAGTTACCTTCTCAGCTTGCAGGTTAAATGAATAAAGGTATTTACCTGGAGTTGCATTTGTTACTCAGTTAACCTTCACTTGTTCTGAACTGAAGATAAATTCAACCTAAGACTTAATCTCAGCCGTCCAATCACCAAAGATTTAGACTCATGACATATGATTTGGACTCAAATCCGACTGTTATCGCGAATTTGATGACTTGGGACTTGACTCGACAAAATCCAGAAAGACTTGCGACTCGACTTTAACTTGATTACCAGTGACTTGGAGTTTGACTCGGATTTGAGCTGCATGACTTGGGAAGACTCCAGACCCAAAGTGGAAGAGGTGGAGAGTCTGACTGCTGTGTTTATGCTCAGCTTAATTTATTTAGCAAGAAAAGCGAAGTATTCGAATTTAAGTTCCCTCCATAAGACAGACACAAGCGGAGCATCAGTAGCATCAATAAGCCCAGCTCAACAGAAACTCAACAGAAACACAGCTCACAGTATTTGAAAGAGCTTAACAGCTTCTGCAGGTAAAACAAGCTCAGAGTTCACCATGAGGCTGAAGTTGACTTTTAATCAACCAGGTTCATATTTGAATTTGCTGTTCCACCTTAAATGGTGCAGAAGTTCCACACCGGAACCGACGGAAAATCTGAAGAAGAAGCTGCTGGCAAATAAAAAGTCAACTTCAGCTTCGTACATTTACATCATCTGCTGTCTTTTCTGTAAACTTGTTCAGCTCAACTCAGTCATTTTGGTTTCTATTGTCTAAATTAATTTCAAGCTAGTGTTTGTTTTTAGTTTGCTGAGTTTTAGTGCTGAGTTAGTTTTTATTTGATTAATGTTCAAATAAATATTCAACAGTACTTGAAAATTCATGTGTATTTGCACTACTCCTTGTGTAAGCTGTTATGTCTGTCATTTGTGTACCATGGATTTTGTATTTTATTTGTAAGGCCTTAAATTAGCTGAAGAATTCATTGTGACTTGTTTAGGACTCGAAGATCAGGACCTGAGTCTCAACTTAAGACTTGACTGTATTGACTTTGGACTTGAATCGGGACTCAACTGTCTTGACATGGGACTTGACTCAGGAATCGAATGTCAAGATTTGACTTACTTACAACTTAGTGACTTGTTTCCACCTCTGCTAATCACTGCTTAGCAACTGCTGCTATCAAGCTTTCTGTTCTTTAGCGCTGGTGTGTCATGTATTTTGAATTTTGACCAACTTTGGTCGAAAGATGGGCCAGGGGGACCCTTAAAACTGAGACTGCAACAGAACACAGTCTGTCACTTTCTACCCATTTCTAAAGCTAAAAACAAATTTACAGAACATCAGCATGTGTTAAAAGTCTTTGGTCTGCAAATTTGGTACTTACTGTGCTCTTTCACTACAAAAGCTAAAAGGGTGATGTCAAAATATCAAAGCAAATATCTATTTCTACACAAGAATTCACAAGAGGTAAGATATAAAGAGTCCATAAACATTTTTTCCATGCCCGCAGTGGCAGTATGCTTTAGCCGACTAAATCTAGACAAAATTCTCGTTTATGTGAAGACTCAGACTATGACTCAGACTTTTATTTATGTCTATTTAATAATTCCCCCTTCTCACTAATGTTTGTATTTATTTTTTTGTTATTTATTATGTTTTTTATTAACATTCTTTCAGTTTTTCTATTCATTCTATTCATTTAAGACATGAACAATCAATCTACAGAATCTGATATCGATCAACCAATAGGAATATTAAGACGCTGTGACATCATTGAATGACAGCCCCTTTATTAGCATGAGGACAAGCAAATACAGAAATAAATAAATAGAGAAATAAATAAAGAAAGAAATTAATAGTCATGGAAATAAATGAATACAAAAAATGAAAGAATGTTAATAAAGAAACATATAAATAACAAAAAAATAAATATAAACATTAGTGAGAAGGGGAAATTACTAAACAGACATGAATACATGCAGACTTATTAATTTATATAAGGTTTTATTTATTCATATATTAATTATTATGTATATTTATTTATTTTTTGATTTATCATCATTGCTCTTTGCAATTCTACTTCATATATTAATTTACTAAGTCATTTATTTTTAATTTTATTTATTTTTCATTTTGGCAAATCTGGTCCTCCATACCTTACAGCATCAGATGCACACAGTACCCAACACTAACAATCTCACATGGTGGATTATTGTGATTGTAGAGATCTTCATAGTGATCCTCCCCTTTCACACTAAAACATTTAACTCACCTTTTCTTTTCTAATGTTGGTATGAAAGCACTTCCTTCAGAAGCACAAAGAGAAAGAAGCAGTTTTTGTGTGTATAAATCACAAAGAGAGAGAGAGAAAAGAAAGATTCTTACCTGTAAGAACAGAACGTCCTCAGCTTCCATCTCCTTCTCTATGTGTCTGATTGTGTCTGAAAGAGCTGATATTTCTCCATTCATCTCCTCAATCTTCCTCCTCATCATCTGACTCTTCTGCTCCTCTTCCTCCTTCAGTGCAGCTATCCTGGCTGCTTCTTCATCTCTTAGAAAACTGGTGAAGCTTCTCAAACTCCTCCTTTATCTGCCTCTCTGTGTGCTGGGCCTGCGTCTGGAATGAGAGACCATTAGGAAACACAAACTCTAACAGATGATCTACAAGCATTTACCACCTACAGGAGAAGTGGACACTCATCAGAAACATGACCTCAGAAACATGTTTCACAATTCAAGATGATGTTTCACCTTAATGTGAGCTGCTGTTTGGTCATAGTCTTGTTTAGCTTCCTTTAAGACTTTCAGATTCTTCTGTAGAGGCTCCAAAGCAGACTTGAGTTTATCCTGGAATCAAACAACAGTTTAGATGAGTGACGTCTGAATGAGTGATGAGTGATCAGTGTAACTGTTTAAATGTAATAGTTGTCCTACACACTACAGCTGAATAGAGAATAATAGCAGTTTTACTCTCTGCTTCAGAATTAGAAGAGATTTTTTTTTCATTTTTGTCCAGTGGAGAGTGAAATTCCTGTTAGTTTACATTTTACATTGACCATCATAATGAATTTAACAACAGAGCATTTTTCTGACTGATCATTCGCTTGTGCTGTTTGCTGTTTGGCCTGAAACCACACCCACTGACAGACTTTAGCTTTAGCATACAAAGCAGGTTGATCTGGTACTGAACTATTTCAAACAATTTGATTGTTACATTTAACATTTCAAAATATTTGATGTGTCCTACCTTAAACTCTGTCACAACTTCATCTACTGGGCAGCAGTTGTGATTTTTATGCGTCTTTGATAGATGACACACCACACACACAGGCTGCTGATCATCCAAACAGAAGAGTTTGAGTTTCTCATTGTGCAGAATGCAGAGCACCTCAGACCCTGCTGAAGATCTCTGACTCCTGCTCTCTAGAAGAGCCTCACACACGTTCTTCAGTACAAGGCTACAGGGAGGATGTTCCCTTGAGGATCTTCTTTTACAAACTGGACATTCTCGGGACCCCTTAGTTTCCCAGAACTTCTGCAGGCAGGTTTTACACACACTGTGGCTACACGACAGTAGAACAGGATCCCTGAAGATTTCACAGCACACAGGACATGAAAGCTCTTCTTCTGAAAGAGGGTTTCTAGCAGCCATTTCCTCCAACTGCTGCTGTGCTGTTTCTCTGTAACGGCTCCTTTAGTCCAAACTCCACTTTCACTTTTAGGACATCTGTAATGATCAGATCAGCACAGTTGAGAATCAGCCACCGTAGCCCTTCAACCCACTGAGTGAGTTTTAGCTCCTTTCAGAATCACACATCAAGAAACAAACACATACAGTCACTGTTTAAAAGCTCCTCATTGGTGTCTCTGAGTGAAGTGAATGCAGAATGAAGAAAGATCAGAGAGACAGGATGAGATTCACTTCCTACAACAGGTAGAGGAGGAGGAGCTTTGAAAAAGGAGCAGTCAGTTAGATGTTCTATTCTAACTGTGTGTTTTCTACACTAGATGACAGCAGTTAATTAATAACCTGAAACAAGGAGCTCTCAGATGAGTGGATGTTTCTAAATAATTAGTTCTTTTCAGCAAACAGAATCCAGATCTTATGAATTAAACGTAAACTATGGGGGAAGATCATATAAGCGTCAAGTATCATGAAGGACCCCCCTCTGGCCTGGTGAAGTGTAGTAACTCAATGTGGCATCGATTCCACAAGAGGACAGACAACGTCTGGATGGATGTTGAGCCATGCTGCCTGGATAGCCACCCACAGCACCGTGGTGTTTGTAGGTGCAGGATCTCTGTTGTGAATGGACTTCTTTACTACATCCCACAAATGCTCAATAGGGGCAAACATGCAGGCCACATCATTCGTCCGAACTCTCTGGAATGCTTCTCAAACCATTTCTGGACAACTTGGGCCTGAAGGCACGGTGCATTATCCTGCTCGAATATACCTCTGTTAGTGTTAACAGAGGTGCTCTGGTGGGTCTTCTGCTCCCATATCCCATGGAAGCTAAAGAACACTGCACTGACTTGCGGGATATGTGTGTGGAGCCTCCTGCATTTAATGTGGATGTGATTATTGCCAAAGTTGCTTGTCTGTTTACACAGACAATTCTAGCCGGATGCTGCTGGTCACGATCCTTAGATAACACCTCAAAACTTAAACAAGTGTGGGCGTTCCCAAGCCATCCCCTAAAGTAATGCCACTTCATCATCAATCAATTTCTATATCTTTAAATTATCTGTAAATAGTGTATGACAATACTTTGCTCTTGTTCATTTTGCTCTTGTTTGCTCTTTACTGTGCTTTGTACTGCTGCAATAGAAGAATTTCCCTCTGTGATTAATAAAGTGATCTATCTATCTATCTATCTATCTATCTATGTATCTATGTATCTATCTATCTATCTATCTATCTACATACTGCTATCCCATGCCTTTTGGCATGTCAGTGTAAATAGCTGGCTGTTTTGATCCTCAAAAAGGGCTCCCTTTCTCTTCACTATGCTGCCCATAAATATCTGCCCATTTACAAATAGGCCAACGTTATGTATTTGTAATATGATAGTTTTACAGTGAAGATGTCATAGATCTGTTGGTAGCCAGCAGTTCCCCTAAATGCCTACAGAGGTCTCTCTTTCCTCAGTGCTGACAAAGAATTAAGGAACTGATCTGGGCTCAGTTTCCCAACGCATCTTTTAAGATTGGAGTCGTGCACTCCTGCTGTAAGGAATCTCTTATGTGGTGTAGTCTTAACACAGATCACCATCTTGAACAGTTTTGCTCAGATTAAGACTAAATTCTTTTTGTTTTATGCTTACTGATTCACAAAGCTACGGATTACAGCATTGTGGTCTCAGAACAACGAAGCTTTAAAATCTGAAACATGATTTTATTCATTTTTAAAAGCTGTTTTTCATCACCCAAAGGCAGGAACAGATGTAGGATCTCTTTTATATGAAATAATACAAGGCAATCATCACAGCTGCAGCCTACAGTTTGGAGTTCCTCATCATCACAGCTGGGAGTGGCTGGAGTGATGCAGCCCTGCTAATCATTAACTAGAGGGGGTTCAATAAAGAGGAGAGTCCATGAACCTGATCTCTAAGCCAGAACCCATGGAACTGTGGAAGGCACGGATATCAGTGGAGGAGGGACATTGGCAGATTATAGACTGCCTATGTCTCTACTGTGGCTGAGCTGGTTATGTGTGCGCTTCATGTCTGGGATGTCCAAACTCTGCTAAGGCAGTGGAGGTGAGTTCTTCAGTCCAGCCTGCAAATAAAGACAAATACATGATGATTACAATGACTTTGTCTTGGACTTCAGGGGTTTTCACTGCTTCAACAATGAGAAATTCTGGAGCTTCAGCCAACTTCATTGACAGAGGACTGGTGGAGAAGTAGAAGATTGAGCTGAAGTCAGTCCTGTCTAAACTGTTGAGAGCTGTTGACGATTGTCCACTGGGAGAGGAACAGTGACTGAACCAACCCGTGAACTGAATATCAAAGCAAGATATCCTTCATTTAAAAAAGTCACCTAGAAACGCTCTCTTGCTGTATGTTGGTAGTTAATTTAACACAAACTAAATATTTCATTGGGTGATGTTGAAATCAGTAAATGAGGATTGGGCGGTTATAAATATAGAAATTGCCTTTATGAGCAGTCTCTGTAAAAAGCGCAGACAGACAGGACTCCACTGATAACCCTTCTTGTTTTTTGTGTATTCCAAAATGAGGGCTTGTGATTTGTCGCTCTACAGGCCATGGGACTATTGATCTGCAGTCGGGAACCACGACACCTAAGAATAGAATTTATCCTTCATCAAACCCAGAATCTAAGTTCACTGTAGAAGCATGTAAATTAGTATACATTTGCCCCTTCAGTTCTCTTGCTGCAGCATGCCCCTTTTACAGAAAAGAAACATAGTGGTTTACCATGGTCTAGAATTAGTACCATTATCTATGGCCTCTAATCCCGGCTGCACTTTAACAGTTGCAGAGATCATCAGTTTTCACTAAATTAGATTTACAGAACACATGGAACCTCAATAAAATAAGGAACACTAACAAATGAAAAGCTGCTTTTGTGACCTCTAGGGGGCACTATGAGTATACAGGTATGCTGTACCACCTGTCCAATGCATTTATTGATGTAGTGCTCCAAGACATGTTAGATCTCTGAGTAATTGTGTACATTAATGACACCCTGATATACTCACTGTCTTTGGAGGAACACAATAAACACATCAGACAAGTCCTCCAATGTCTGTTAGACCATAATTTGTATGTTAAGGTTGAAAAGTGTGAATTTCATAAGGAACCGGTGTCCCTTCTGAGATATATCTGAGATAAAGAGGGGGGACACATGGATGATGACAAGGTGAGTGTCATTTTAATGTACAATTACTGTTTAGTTGCTGAATTCAATGTATTGAAAAAAAAACATAAAAAATGTGGCCTGTGCAAAGGTTATGGCACATTTTATACTTTCTTTTATTTTTTCCAATAGGTTAAACTTCACAATTAAATATAAATTGTTCAGTAAATCTGCAGGAAGTGCTGTGTTTAAGTTCCCTGTAGAGGATGTGTAAACTTATTTCTACTTAGAAAATCAATGAAACATAATTTGACCAGGCTGTGCACAAAAGTTTTGCATACAACTGTACATAAAAAGGTGCTTGACATCCGGTATTTGTAGATTTGTAAATAATACAGCCAAAGTGCACATTTCAAGTACAGTTAACATCCAGTGGTTTGCTTCTATTTATGTCACTTCTTTTGTTTGCTGTTGATCGTTGCGTTTACCTTACATGGTCTAACTGGGGGCAGAAACTTAAAATGATTGACATTAGAACACACCCTTGGGGCAGCACTACTCCCTCATACTCTCATAGACCAGTGCAGTCATGTGTCATTCTGTAGTCTGCTTTGTAGTCCGCATTATTAGGCCCATATTAGGAACTCTACGCTCGAATTCTCTATGGCCGACTACAAAATGACGACACAACTACAGTCGTCTATGCTGGACTGATGCCAGACACAATGCTACAGTGACTCACTATTGCCTCTTGAGGTACAAAGTGGTATTACAAGATGGGCTAGAGCTAGCTAGTTAGCATGCCAACTTCAGTAGATATCTCTGCAATGTGATACATAGATGTCTCTGACATAACTGGTCACATTTGAACATGGACCCATTTGCTGACCACCACAGATCCTGGCACAGATATATCACAATCTCTGTGATCAGCAATGCAAAGTGTAGTTTTAAACCCTACATTAATGAAGGAGTAAATAATGACACATTTCATAATTTTTCATTTCAGGCACATCTTATCAACTGATAATCATCTAACACTCCTGGTACAAATGAACTACTTGTATTTGGCAGACGATTATTTAAAGAGCTCAATTCCATAGAAAACATAAGTAAGAATAAAACTGAAAGCCAGAGAAAGACAAACTCATCACTCAGACCAAATATAGTGTCCCGGATTTCTTTGAAGCACTTCTTCTATTCTGATGTGGATTCCTGGAGGTTTCCCAGCACTTTCTTGTCCAATGACTGTATTCAAGTTCAGTGCTTTAAGGTTAGTCACTGAGCATAAATGTTCTGTTATGGCCTAGATTACATTATAACTGATCATCAGCATGCTAACAAATGTATTGAGTTAGAAGTCAAAATCAAAGCCTACTACTCATTTGGACAAATAGTGTATGAATTACACGAAATGATATAACCTGAAACATATGGGAGTTTATGCAGTGTGACATCATAGACTCTTCAGTCAGAGATGTGCACTCTTTTATCTCAATAGCAAAACCTACCAGACCTGTACACTCTCAGAAAAAAAGGTACTGAGAGTCATCACAGGTGTGGTACTATCACATCACTGGGTACATCAAGGGTACATCTTCAGTAGCTTTAGTTAAGAAACATAATTTTATTATACTTTCTTTCTAGTTGCATTGATATGAAGATGCATGTGTGTACTTATTTTAGAAGTAAATACAAGTGAAAGATATGAAGTTAAATAAATAAATTAATTAATAAATATTGTGTGCAATTATTTGTGGTGTACATAGTTGCTCTATTCCATTGTAAAAAAATTTCATAGAAATTATGGTAAAAAACTATCAAATAGCAACGGTAAAAGACTATAAAGTCCAAAATACTATTTCAGTGTAATAGATACATTGAATTACCTTAAATCAGGAAACAATAAATAACTTTAGAAAATACTTGTAGAAAATACACAATTTAACTGTGAAAATATAAAATTTTGGTGAAATTAATGGGAAAAATACTGTGATCTTATGATGAAGTAATTACCTTAAAAAATTAACAGTGTAATTCTGCATTGCACAAAATCTAACAATTTGTACTGAGTTCAGGACTGTCTCATAGCACACAC